TTCCTGGCACGAGTTTAGTAGTGAAAATTAATTTCCATTTCCTAGAAACCGCAAAATTTATCACAAAACCTAAAGATTTGGTAATTTCCACTGCCGATATCATACAGATATGATAAAAGAGATAAGGAAATTTATAGAATCTTTAATTTCGAAACAAAGGATTACAAAGATGCGATAATTTTCATTACTAAACTCGTGCCAGAAATCATAAGGCTTGCCACGAAAGCTGAAGATTTCATAATTTTTCGATGGGTGATAGTATCCATCATTAGCAATGTATCTTATCGAAGAATTTTGTTAAATTGCTACTTATTGATTTCTTTATCGGCTAAAATTTAATTTGCTCCCAAATCATTTTCATTAGTAGGCAGGATGACTGAGAGTAATGGCATAGTGGAAAAGAGTTTAATGTGGAGGCATTGAAAATAGGAGATTAGAAGAATTAGTTAGACGACCTGAAATTATCTTATTTGCATTTTAACCCCAATACAGCTCGGAAAATTTTCCAAAGAATTTTATCACAGAAAATTGATTAAATTTTACATATATGCCGCAGCACACATCAAACCTATAAAATTGAAGTAAATTAGTTATTGATTGAAATTACAATGCATGACAAATTTGAATAATCAGTAGAAATAAAGTCGTTTCGGAACGAATTCGGTTATAATGAGGCCGACGGTTTGTTTCGCGTTCTTTACTATCCTCCAATCAATCTCCGGTAAAGTTTTCAAAAAAATAAATCAGATTTAAACTAATTTGTAGAGAGCATGATTTCATCATATTCGATCCGAAATAATATCGGATGCTTTAAAATGCAAAACCAGTATCAACGAAATTAAAAAGAGTTGCAACATATTATAATAGACGCTTTAAAACAACTTTACGACGTCTTCCGGTAGTGATTCATCAGTTGATGAAAGAACACTGTATATTGCCAGTTGTTTTCCTGATTTACTAGCGATTGAGATAATAGTTTGAAAATCTTAACATTTAGAAAGCAAATTTTAAACTTTTACTAATTTGTAAAACATTTTACAGATAAAAAACAATCAGGAAGATATTGGCTCCAGCTGCAATTTTTAACATATCATTATATCACATGATAAGTAATAAAAAGAGACAAAAGAAAGAATAAGCTGTCTAACAGCATTTCACGTCATATCACGTTTTACAGAATCTTATCGCTTTTCACACTTTTCCCCACCAGTCTTACTTGATCTATCGAATGAGATTTGAATTTTAACAGATTCTCCAGAGATCAATTTTTCTGGAAAAGCATTGAAATGACATGCGGCAATATTTTTACATTAACTTTAAGGGCTTTTCATGTGTTTATGCAAAATGATGAAAAGATACATGCATGCGTGTGATCAAAATAAGATTAATATTATATGCGTGTGATCAAAAATAATGAGATAGTTAATATTAATGAGAATAGTTAATATTATGCATATGCAATATTCATTGCATGTTTGCATAACAGTAATATCTTTTGTAAAGCGCTTGTGGACAACGTGCAAATGATCATTAATAAAAGATTTTGCTCCTTGTATCGGAGATATTAATCAAGCCCTCATACTTTATCTAAATTAATAATCGAAGCATGGCTCATTTTATGCTTATATTGATGAGCACTAAATATAATTTATCAATAGGCACACCTACGCACTAATTAACTAGTTACGCTTCATAATAATTAGTTTACTCTAATTACTTATGTTTTAGGGCTTCGATTATTAATTTTGAGTGATTTTGCAATCCTTTGTCAGGTTAAACTATGCTGTATGAAAAGAATCGAAGTGCATTACCCGGCGAGTTACGTAAATTATCTCTAACTACAGTGCTGTTATTTGCGTTTCATTATCAAACCGCTCGAACATACTGTAGCGGAGATCCTAAAGTTTTGTGGCATATGTCAATCAAGGCAGGATTGTAGGGTATTGAGTGAAGGATGGGGGGTTGTTGCTGGTGAGTGGTGTGGGTGTGGTGCCGGTTTCCGGAGTTATATTTTCATAATTATCTGCTTGTAGGTGAGGATTGCTTTATTATCTTTGGGCTGATCTGTTTGTATTTGAAGGTATTTGGATTTGAAGGCTTTCATCGAGCAAGCAGTAAGGCATGGCTCGTGGACCGAAGCGACATTTAAAGCGCCTTGCAGCGCCGAAGCATTGGATGTTGGATAAACTTGGAGGTGCATCTTTTTTTCGATCATTTTTTTTCATTTTTCTTCATTGCCGATGGCGGAAATTCTCTTGGATTTTATTTCATTATTGTTAGACTATCACGCAAAGGAAATTATTAACTACGTTAATTTTATTCGACGCTAAATGGCTGGAATACAGAGTTTTCCAAAGATCCATATAAAGTGTGCAGTTTTATCACTAGCTGTGTCTAGTTATTCACCGTAGACGCTAAATGAATGTAGATCATTTTCCAAAGATTAGTGTCAATGACATTGTCTACCACTGGCAAAGGAGTTCACATCGATGATTACTATCTCTCTTAGTGAACAAGTAGTACTTAATGATGGGCACCAAATATTGGTAGTACATGAAGAGAGTCTTTCAAATTCTCGTTCAATGCGAAGTTTTTCGAAAGCTTTCAAAGGACGTCACTTTTTATATGTAGTGGTTCGCAACTCTTCTGTTTTTGCTTGAAGAGTGAATCAGTCAAGTTCATTCCTGTTGTGAGGAAATCAAAAAAATTGTGGTGCAGCAATTAATGATGAAGTTAATGGAATTACCGTTTGATAAAAACATGATATGTATTTCGCGGCACTTTCTGAAATTGCTGCTCTCGAGATTGCATTAGGTTCTAAATCATTCCATCTTATGATGTCAGATGTGGAGGGAAGATGCTTGATGTGAATTCAAGGGGGATAAGACAAGGGAAGCGTTGACTTCTATTCCGACAAACTGTGGGAAAGTCCGTGGAAAGTTAACATTTTCATTGAAATGAATTTTTGCAGGTGTTTTTGCCCCTAGACCACGATGCGGACCACACAAGTTACGTGAATCGCTTCCGTTGATATTGTTTTTGCGTAATCGATTAAAGTATGCACTGACATATAACGAGGCGCGCATGATTTGCAAGCAGCGTCTGATCAAAGTCGATGGCAAGGTTCGAACGGATATGCGCTTTCCTGCAGGATTTATGGGTATGTATTTATCCTATTTGGTACTCGTTACACAACTGTTTTGTTGCCGTCGGTTTATATTTTGAAATTGATTATTCGATATGGGATATATTCAGATAGAGTGCTATTTAGTTGCGTGAGTTTTGAATGCGATTGTTATCTTTTTTTAATGTTTTTAGATGTAATTAGGATCGACAAGACAAACGAAACTTTTCGTCTGTTGTATGACGCAAAAGGACGTTATGCTACCCACCGTATCACGGAGCAGGAGGGAAGTTTCAAACTCTGCAAAATAGTGAGAAAATGTGTCGGACCAAAAGGCGTACCTTTTATTGTCACTCATGATGCCCGAACTATTCGTTATCCTGATCCTCACGTGAAGGTAATATCAGCAAAATACCCTTAACAACCATGTTTTACAAATATATAATCTATACTTGTTGAACAGAGGAACATTAACTCAAATCTAACTTTAGGAATCAAGGATTTTGTTAATATTTTATAGTGTGGAACTGATTTTTCAATGTATTATTCTTCAAGAGACCTTGATCGCTGATTTTTTTAATCTTACATTATCAGTTCTGGTTATTGTATGTCACTTTTCTGAAATTTCAGGTAAATGACACAATAGTGGTGGATATTGCAACTGGTAAAATGACTGATTACGTCAAATTTGACCAAGGTAATTTGTGTATGGTAACAGGAGGACGTAACATGGGTCGTGTGGGCATTGTTGGACATCGTGAGAAGCATCCAGGCTCATTTGACATTGTGCACATTAAAGATGCTGCTGGACATTCGTTCGCTACTCGGTAAGTGCGTGTGAAGAATCTGCGCAAATTATTTATGTATTGTGAATGAAACAGCTGAGAAAAATTTGAGGTTTTGAAAAAAATGGAATTTCTAAAATTCGGTGAGGTCAAAATGTACTTTGTTTGCGAGACACAATGTGTTCTTCTGTAGTGATGATTAAAGAAGGCCGGGGCCTGGTTGGCATAACCACCGGTCCAGGTTGGTTTTTTTTCTCTTCATATGCTTATAAGTAATATTCCTTATTAGGAAAATAGGGTTTTCTTGCGTTAAGCGGTAATTTTTTACTTTATAACGTTGACTACGTATTTTGTTAACGTGTTGTGGATCTTTGCGGAAAACATGTTTCTTAATTCGGTTTTTTATTTTTACTATTGCACAATGTTTGCAAATAATCGTACCTTTCGTTTATTCAACCATCTTTTAGGTTAAATAACGTATTTATTATTGGGAAAGGAACGAAATCTATGGTAAGTTTACCGGGACCAACGAAGGGTGTCCGTTTGACTATTGCCGAAGAACGAGATCGTCGACTCACCCAGAAAAGAGCTGCTTAATGAACTTTGTTAAGATTTATGTGATTTAATTGTATTGTTCAATTCGTGATTAAAATACATATTGTGTTTGGAACTTCTATTACATAGAGTTTGTTAGCTTTGTCCTACACTTAATACATTGAATTCCGGAAGATTACGCGTTTTAAGTTGAACGGACAGAAATTTCTGGGTTTTAGTGTTTATAGAAAGAGGTGGAAAATGGTAATAATACCGATAGCTTGAGCTGTACACGACAAACACTGTTTATTTCGGGCTGTCTGCATATTAGTGAAAATCGAGATTTGGAAAAGTGTTTCCTGTACACTGTCCGGAGTTCTCATTAGTTTCACGGATTACTCTGTTTCAGGGGTTCATATGTTTCTTTGGTCTGCTCTAATTTTCCCTGGAAATTCTGTGTTTTCGTAAATTTACATGAAGCTAATAGTGAAGAAAGACCATCAAGAAAGTGGAGGAAGAGTTCCAACATAGGTGGCTATTTGTTGTTTGCTGGTGTGATGCGGATACCTACAACAGCGGCTGATATTTGGAAATCTTTGCATGGGGTCGTGTGTGTACACAAGCCCCGCGATATTTCGCTCACTTCACTAAAACGATACCTTATTAATGCAATTTGCGAAACTGCTAATAAACGTTGCTTACCAATAGAAATACCAGAAATTGAAATGCCTATTGTCGAGTCTCACCCGATATCACAAGCTCCTGTTGTTATTGGCATACGAAAACAGCCAAATTACAAGTAAAACATACCTTTCAACTTTTGCCGTTCTTAGTTGAATTAAATCGTATCACTAGCGTAACTTGTGATAATCGTATCAGTACGGTTATCGCAAGTTTTTATTTGTGCGCGGTTTTCATTTATAGCTTTGTTTTATAATTTTCAATATTTATTTACATTTTATAATTTAATTTATTTTTATCACTGTTTATGAAACAGATGATAGCTTTGCTTCGTATGTCGTGACTTTCTTAGGAAAATGATCAAACTTATCAAAGTCATTTGTTGCAGATTAGTGTAGTTTGTAGTGCAAGCCTATAAATTTAATTACACTACCATATAGTTTTGGTTATTACACTACCATTGCAGAACATTGGAAATTTTTCTTTATACCCTTAACAACGGTAACAGTGATGAAATATTAGGAATTGGAATCTGTAGAAGTAGAGCATTTAGTGCTATTGCATCTAAGTTATATTTATTTTACGCTACGAATCATTTTTATTTCTTTTTCATAATACTATTAATTTGATTAAGGTTCTTTCATAGAAATCTTTCATTTTTGATATTATCATTAAAAATACATATTGCATCATCATAGTATTTAAGCTTTCATCCTCTCGTTGTTGGACAACCGTTTCGGAAAGAAGATATTCGAGTTGAAGAGCTTGATTATCAGCAACCTGCAGGTTCCGGTTTATGCTGTGAGATTTTATTGCTTTTATATTTCCAATAAATCGATGTGAATCTTTTTTCTTAAAATATCAATTAGCTATTTTTACGGGCACATACGATTTAAATTTTCCACAATAAACATGTTAAAGATTATGAGTGAGAGACATTAATATTTTGATTATTATTTGACTTGATATTATAGAGGAATCGTCCTATTGTTATATATATTTTGCAGTATTGGGCATTAATGATGGCTGCGATACGTTAGAAAGCCTACGCGATCGTGTTTGGGTGAATGAATATATTTTAAAAGGTCAGCTAGGTCGAGGAACAGTTCAAAATAAAATTCGAGGAAAAACAAATCGAGAATATGATTACGGTGAGATCTTTTGGTGCATTTTTTGAAGTACTTTTTTCGGAATGCGAAAAATATTCCTAAAAATTATTGCCAACATTATTAGCATATTAAGGAATTATCATTGCTTATTTAGAGGCCAATTCCTAGCTATATAAAATCCGACAGAATAAAAAAATATTTATCTCAAAATATAAGCCTATTTTAGAGCACATTACTTATCGGCAGATGTCAAGATTTCTAATACGACTACAAGCTCATTACAAAAAGCTAGCATTTAAGCTAGCGAATGTGGATATAGAAAGCCAGGAAGCGTTTGAATTAGCTCGAAAAGTAATATTTTTTTGTAATTTTATCAAAGTGTCCTGAGTTTTTGATTTCTGTTATAATACATTTATTTCTTTTTTTTTTTCATCTTTTCAGGGTTTGCCGAGGCCTAAAGTACTTGGGGCTCCTGTAATATATTTTATAAAACTGGTGCATTTTCATTTACCACATTTCACTATCAATTTGCATTGTGTTTGCAAAAATGACGATTTTTTACAAGACTTCATTAATGAAATTGCTTTGTCTTTAGGTAAGCTTCTTGTTGGCTTCTATATTTTTCGGAGAATTTCGCTATTTGATTCAATTAATACACTGAAGTACTGAAATTGTGAAAACAAATTTATTTTTGTCCGTTAAGTCAGTCTTTTCAATTTTTCAGATTAAGTGATTTGAGGTTACTGAAAAACTAGCTTTCAGTTATTACTGGATTATTTTTATCAAGTGCAGAGTATCTGTTAGTAACAACCTAACTACCCACTGTATATGATTTAGCATCGACAATTTTTTTTTTAATAATGATTAATAATTTTCATTGATCAGTATTTAGCATAATTATTACCTACTTTATTTTTGAATCTTTGAAAGATATGCATTAGTAATGTTTAAGCATATTCATTTTTGCATTATCATTCGTATAATGCTTTCACTTTATATAGTTAAGATTTGCAAAAAAATAATTTTCTAATAGAAATATCAATTAAGGTTCCGTGGCATCATGTCGCCAGTTACTACGAACACGATTAGGACCATTTGATTGCACTCATTCATTGCTGGATAAGCATTTCACACTGAAAAATATTTTAAGAAACATGCAGCTTTGTCAAAAAATCATTGAACACGATAAGAAAACATTGGATAAAGAGATTGTGAAGACTACGGCTCAGTTAGCTATGGAAGATATATTCAACGATGAACTTGTTGAAATGTTTGATGAAGAGGAAGAAAATGAATCTCTTGAGGACTGCTTACGGGTTCCTTGGGGTAGAACTTACGATTAAAATATTCGCATGAAATAATAATATATTAACTCATTATTGTCTGTGCAAGAAAATAATTGTGAAAGAAAAAAAAATAAATTAATTTGATATTATACGGAGTTCATTTCATGTCGGTTTATTCATTTTATCCGTATAGGTAACATGTTTCGACTATTTCTCCATCATATTACAATGTATAATAGGCTCTCTCGTTGTATTGACGGTCTTCTGACAGGATTGTTTTTCTACAAAACTGCTAATGATGGAGTACATCAGCAACATATCAATTCATAAGATTATATTGAATTGAATTGAGTATTCTTTCATGGAAGCACAAAGTTACTTTAAGCTTTCCATATCTTCTCCATTTATTAACAAAAGAGCGCATGCATGAAAAATGTTTAACTGGGAAAATGCAAGACTTCAGACTTAGGCTTTAAATAAAGGATTTTGATCTCGATTTCTGTTCCAGCAATCGTTGACATGAATAATTACGATTCTTGAAGGAACCATAATTTTAAATTTAAATTTAAATATAAAACATTGTATACGACAATCTGTATACGATATGGTAGAAGCTCAATTACAATTATATCTAATTAAATTGAGATGGATTAACCAAACTTAATCGTATTATTATTAAAACAAATAGCTGCAATTTAGCGGTATTCCTTAAATCCTTACAGTTATGGTCAAAAAAAAAGTCAAAACTGACGTTTTGAACGGCATGGAAAGGCGTGCTGCCTTAAAGTTCCTGCTAATATAAATAAAGATTGCTTAATGCTTCAGAAGAAAACACTAGAAAATTGAATTCTTATCTTCTCAGGTATGCAGAAAAATGAACTCAATTAAAACAACTTAAATTTGAAATAATTTATTGGAAAGAGGAAATAAGTAGAAAGTTTGCTTCATTGGAATCAAATTATTGAGCAATAGTCGATCCGCTTATTAAATTTAGGATACAGTTCGTCGCCTTACGATTATTATCATTAACTTTGCTTGAAATCATTATTATAGATATCATCCTCAATCGCTTTTTATTAACATTAGATCCTGAAACAGGAAGATATTATATAGCTTAACTAAAGGAATTAAAATCCGCTGATTTCAGGGATTTCTGATGCCTGCAATTTCTCCATGTTTCCGAACAACAACCAACACTGATACGATTTTATTTCTTAATTTAAATTCTGAGCAATTATAAAGGAATATGCAAACAAACTGATACTAACAGAATTCTAAAAAAAAAAGTGATTAAAACAATGTAAACACTCGGGGAATGAAGTTAAATCCAAATTTTGTTAACACAAATACTGAATGTAGGTAGTTGGAAGAAAAATGATAACGAAAGCCGCAATCAAAGACATAATTTGATACTTTAAAAATTCAAAAAAACACATAGGAATGAATGCAACTATGACACATCGATGGGACATTTGTGAGAGAGAATTGATACTAATAAAAACAGTGATGCAATCAACAAATAAGAAATTCAACTATGTTCGAATTAGATTTTGAAATATTCAGGTAAATATGGAAATCAGGCTTAACTTAAAATACAATAGACGGAAAAGCAATCATTTTATCTAACTAAAACAGAGCCGTTTTTTTTCGACAATTCTGCAAATCGACTGCCTTGAATAATATCAGCAAAAAAAACGCAAAGTTCAATTAAGACAAATACATTCAAAGAGAAAAGGCATCACTAGATATCACATTAAAAAAGAAAATATGGACTATAGTACAAAAGAACAATAACAATATTAATTTTTTCTTTATGTAGAATAATATTAACTTAATTTATTTGCTCTTTGCAAATCCGATAAGTTTAAATAAATCAAAAACGAGTAAAACAATTCAAGATGTTTCGTTTCACTATAGCTCATTAAATTGTAATAGTACACATTTCATATTAAAAAAGGACTTTTCCATTCAATACCTATTGAAAAAACACTAATAAAAACTCACAGATGTACATCACTTTTAGATTAACGCATTTTAATTCATAGTGGACCAATGGTTTTCTTCTGAACGTTTACTGCTCTAATTTGAAATGAAATAAAGAAACGGGAGGAAAATGGATACAAAGAATGGTAAAGAAAACAATGAAAACCATCAAAGTAAAAATTATACTTAAAGAAATTACTTTTAAAATTGAAATAAAAACAATTATAATTATGTTCAAAGTTTGTTCCAAAAAAAATTGCATAATTGAAAAGCATGTTTTTTTCTTCACTGATGAGTTTAAAAAAAGAGTAATTAGTAACTGGGTCAAATATAGCCTGATATTAATCACACTAATGACTCGTAGTTTCAAAAACCAAAAAGTGCCTTAAATATTGCAATAACAACGTAAATTATCAATAGCTTAAGAAGTGTACGACCATAAACTTAAGAATTGCAAACTCATTTCGATAGAATATCCAAAAAACTGGTAGAAACAACAAGTTTAGAAATAATTTCAACTATCATCGTGCAGAAGTTTTTTAACGAGCTTTTTGATGACAAAGTGATGTATTAGAAACTATAAATTGAAAGCAGAGAAATGCTTGCAATATAAAATATGACTTGTTGAGAAAACAGTAAGTGGCATTCGAAGACGAGCAACACTGAAAGCAATATTCGCTATAAGACATCCAAAAATATTTGTTTAAAGCATGCCACAACAAAATAAGCAAAAGACAGTGTTTCATAATCTCCATTGATTATAAAGCAAAAAAAAAAAAATTGACGGAATTCAAGCTCATTTAAGGAAAAATGCTGCATGAATTATACGGTTCTAGCTCTTTGTAACTTCTTTCAGGAATATAACAGATAGAAGATACAAAGTGTACCTATATTTTTGAAGCACATAACTGAAGAAATGGAATTTGGTAATGTATCATATTAGGCAATGCGACTGTTTTTCAAACAGTCCAGATATACAGCTGAATAACTAAATTGCCTTTTGTATTTTTAATTAATGCTAAAAGGAATGAAGAAGAGACAAATCTTCGAAAAAATATAGGAGTAAAATACCAAAAAGCCAATAAAATTAGGTCACCGCTTGATTAAAGCTTTGCAAGTTTGAAAAAGACGAATCTACTATGAATTCATAAACAAAATCAGTTCAAAAAAAAATTAAAATCATATGACCAAGATTTCCTTCATTTGGCATTACCATTATTCTACTTTTTTCCTCTTTTTCATATTATTCTTCATGACTGCATCGATATTTTCAGGTGATGATGCAGAAGATATTTCATTATCTGATTCCTCCCTGATATCATCAATATTGCCTTTTACTGACTTAAGCGCTATTTTTATGATTATAAATGTCCAATAAATATGTAAAATCAGTAAAGAAAGTAACATTACAGCGAATAATCGTGGCATTATTGGAGGTTGCCGTATATTCTCCCACCGATAATCTGCCTGAAAAGTTTAACCATTTGTTTCAAATATATGTTGATGTTATTTGATTCCTTATTGTTTTTGATAACATTCTATTAACTTATGTAAAGCGATGACAGCTCAAATTACGATTCCCTATTTATTAGTAAAAATTCGTCCATTCAAAGCATCTAAAAAATTTAATTTATATAAAAATATATAACCGAAATAACAGGATAGCTACAGCTTTAAACGCAAAACAAGAGCAAAAAATATTGAGATAATCTACTTACCGAATCAACGACACACAAGAAAAGAGTAACTATTTTTTGTTCTTACTATTCTTACTTGCATTAAAACAGGAGCATTAAACAATATCGACCAAAACGAAAATGGAAAAAGTAAATGAGTCTTACTTGCATTAAAACAGGAGCATCAAACAATATCGACCAAATAATGAAAAATGGAAAGTAAATGAGTCGCGTGACAACCCATACTATCATGAATATTATAAAAACGCATGTTAAAACCGTTTTCCAACCAGCATATCGACATAGTTTGCCTAGTTCGCTGGAAAAAATATATTATGGGTTTTAAAAAATAAAAAAAAAATCTTTTAGTGATTGTTCTAACAAAAGAAGAAATTAACAAAAAGTTAAGTATAATCAACAAGTTAAGATTCAAAATTATATGATATTCGATATATCAGATAAATGATCTACAACATAGTATTGAACTCAATGAAAAGATAAGAACTTACAGGAAAACATCAGCTATGTCATGGCTAAAAAGAATCAGTGTCCCAATTCGAACCATATTCGTCACAAAACTTAGCAGGAGAAGTAGAACAGTGATTACATGATGAAATATCATCTGAATAAAATCAGCCCGCCGAATGTCAAATAACAATGAACTGAAAATGGATTATAGGATGTCTTTTTTGTAAATACCGTGGAAAGCAAATGAGGAACGTTAATAATTAAATACTTACCTGACAATAAGTGAGCAATAAAATGATGTTTCGATCACGTAATACCACCAGATGCCATTAGTCAGCGGATGACGAGGCCAATGCCGCCAACATTCCGCAACATCATACAACTGAGGTTGGTCAGATAAAACATAAAGACCTGAAGCAAATCTAAACTACATAGGAGAGAACATGAAGTTATAATTTAGCAAATAAGTATTTAACAAATACGTTTTCATGGAATGAAAATAATCCTTTTTTCCACAATTAAATATGATGGCATAACCGCGCAAAAGCTAATAAAAAACATACCGTATAACCAAATACATAAGTAAAACATAAATCGCCACGCAGATTCTGATACCCGCTTGAATTTTCCTTTACCAGTTTGACGGAAATTCAGATGCGCTTTGATGCGTAATCCCAACGGCCCTTTAACCATACCAAATAAATAACCCATCGGCAAAAATATGAAGCATTCAACAGCAAATCTAAGTAACAACAGTAACACGCTGTACCTGAAAATTTCACTTCAGTTACTAAATTGTTAAGATGTGGATAGCGGTCACATTAGTAGGTTAAATGACCATTATAATCATCTGAAAACTTGTTAACAGCGAATATTTGAAATAAAAAACATGTTAAAAATAAAGGAATTCTTTTATTAACTTCTTTAAACTGAAAAAATGGAAAAGTAATAGTAGATTTAAATTACAAGCATACCACTATTACGATTCTTTTCTTTAAAATGGATGCGGATCAAAGATGATACTTTATTATTATTAGAAAGTTTGATAGCAAAAACCAGAGAAAATTTGACTGTCATCGGAAGTTAGCTTGGACGGAAGATGAACAAGAAATGAACGTGGGATTTTTTAAATATTGTAAGACTATATTACGCATACTTCATGGCATAAGTTAGTTCCCAAATATCCGGATAATGAACGGTATGATTGGATTTAAGGTCATTCCAGGAGAAACCTTGTGGAAGCCAGTAGTATTCATTCCAAAACATCACTCCGTTCTGCTAAACCGCACTTGATATGTACCAATGTTACCTGCAAAACCAATAGAGAATTTTAAGAGAAAAAACAGCGTGAGAATGTGCTGTGCTAACATTCTCCATCCACTTTAATAACCAATTTCAAGTATCTATAATATAGCAAAATTTTAACTTAAATCTTAAAAATTCTAACTAAAAAAATCATTTGTGAGGAATTCTAAGCTGATCTATTCAATATAGATCAGTTCCGATACGTCGGTAATTGATAACTCAGATCAAGTGAGCAAATAGGTAAAAGTGTTCAAACTGACAGACAAAAATGAATAACAGTGCATCACGAAGTTCCTATAAAGTGATTTGAAAAGTATCAACGGAGAAACATTTATCAAGAAAACAAGTTTTCGAAAAATATATGGAAAAAACTTCCTATTCCTGACTAAAATAAATTAAATCATTTCGTGGCATGATGCATCAATACGTCATTAAAATAATGCTACCATAAGAAAACAAAATGTCGACACCATACCAAACAGATGACAATGTAATTCAAACAATAATATGACATTTACAAAAAAAATATCACTAAAATATATCATATATCACTATATCACGAAAGGTTATTTATGCACCCTGTTATTTATACACTCTCCACTTTGGCTGTTGAAAGTAATCAATTATGATCCACTAGTAAATGTCAGAAATTCTATTCAGATTAATATAAGAAACATCTGTCTCAATAAATCACATGGTACAGGTCCTACTAGACATATCTAACATTATACAATGCTTACATTCTTGAACAATGTACGAAATATTACGCCTAGACAAATCACGAATGATTCTGAAATTCAGTTCACTCTTATTTGATTAGCTTAAGTGGAATTTTGAATACTGCCGGATTTGAAATCAGAACGAAACCTAAGCTTTTAGAGTTCGTGTCTATGTCAACCGAGTGGCTTGATGCATGAAGATTAAGAGAGACTGGGAAGACAGTTTTTTGGAAATTTTGTGGAGTCACAGGTTATCCACAGAGTTAAACATTACTAGCACATTGTCCTATTATAATGTTTAATGTTAGAGGAAGACACACTTATGAAAAATTCACGAAATCACTAACAGTTTAAGGAGAAATCGAACTTCTATAAATTCCAAACGAACTGTCGGTAACCCCCACCGAGCCAACTGCTTTACAACTTGAATGCACTGGGAGAAAAGGAGAGAAATGTTAGGCTAATGGGGCCTCAAAGAAGATAGTGATGAGCATTTTCATTAAAACCCAGTCGGGGTGACATAACATAGTGCACAGTAGCCCAGAGGGATTTCTGGAATTGTTCTCCAGGTGGGTGAAAGGAAGGACAGGGTTAGGCTATTTCTTTGCGGTGTTGCGGTTGGTGGAGTTCGGGTGGTGGGGTTTGTTATCACATTCTCTTGCTTGTATTACAGTACATTTGTATTCTTTTCTTGTGATGATATTAAAAAGCCATTTTTAGCCATTTAATAAATTAATAAAGGATATATTTAGAAGTATCTAATGATAAATGTTGTAGGGGCCTAGACAATTATACGTTCAGTTGAAAATATGGCTGATGCTTCACTTCAAATAAAAGAGGAAGAGCGAAAGAAGGTTTCCTTTTCAAAGTTTCAGTCCGCAGAAGCACTAGTTTATAGTTTATTAAAGATTATTAACCTGGAAAAAATTTGAATATTCCACAATAAATATTAAAATCGTGACTGGCATGTAGTTTTCCTGCCATTTGGGGAATGAAATATTTATTATGCAAATAATTGTGTTAGTAATCGAATATGATCTTTAGTTTTACTACTTAACTTATCTATACATAACCTCATCTATCATGGAAGTTTGATGCAAGTGACATTGACACATTAGCGAGCAATAAGATTTGCCATTACTAAAACAAAGTCGAGAAACATTTTGAATGCGGGAATCAGAAGTAGAGTAGAGAAACATTTTCTGTGAGTTTAAGTCATTTTTTCTTATTACTCTTTAATTAACGTCATATAGCGTTTATTAATAGTATTATAATCCCGCAAATCGAAGTTTATCTATCGGATCTTTACGACATACTGATTGAGGTAGTAATTGATGACACATCTTCTGGTTCTTCTGGAAATGAAGCTGGCGATGAGAACGAGATGAAAGGTTCAGACAACGAAAACGATGAAAACGAGGGTGAGGTTACAGAAGCCCAGAAGAAAGTTGCAGAAGCTGCTGGATTAACAGACCAGGTCTGTTCTTTTTTTTGTGATTTTGCATACCTTGTTGCCTTTATGTTAAATTCCGTAAATTTTTCTGTCCAACTAACTCGAGATTTTCTTGTTTAATTATTAGGAATATATTTATTCGGATCTTATGTGTTTTTTTGCAGGTATCTGGAGACAAAATGAGCAAACAGTCACGATCAGAAAAGAAGGCGCGCAAATTATTCAGCAAACTAGGTTTAAAACCGGTCCATGGTGTTTCTCGTGTTTGCATTCGAAAATCAAAAAATATTCTCTTTGTGATCAACAAACCAGATGTTTACAAGAGCCCAGGCTCGGATACCTACATCGTTTTTGGTGAAGCTAAGGTACTTCTAAAAATTCAGAAAATTTATTTTAAGATAATTTGTGATCCTTTGTCTTTATATTTAGTTCCTTATTCAATATATTCTTAATGATTACGTTGTATGTGCTGTCACGTTTGCTTCGTATGCACTGGATTTAGGGTTTTAATTTTTTGTAAGGTTCTTTGTAAGCCTTTTTTAATCTAAATTTTACATAATGTATGACTTTGTAGATTGAGGACTTAAGTGAGCATGCACGATTTGCTGCGGCAGAAAGGCTGAAGCCGAATGATACACAATTAGGTGCTCAAGGTGGACGTATGAATGTTGCTCGAGCCGAACAGGAAGAAGAAAGTGGTGATGATGGCGAAGTTGATGCGACTGGTATTGAGGAGAAAGATATTGAACTAGTACGTTTTTTAATGTTCATTGAAAACATAGCCAGCGAATGTGTTAGGTTTAACAGTTTTCAGTACAAATGTTTTCGGATTTTTGCAACTGAAATTACACATCCTTTCAGTCCAGCGAATGGCCACGTAGTCTTATATTGATACTTCTGCCGTTGCAGGTGAATACTGCCAAAAAAATGAAAATGACGCATATGCACTTGATTTCATAAAATATTGATTTAAGAAAGCATTTTGGCTTAAATATCACTGCTACTTTCAGGTATGTTCTCAAGCCAATGTATCACGTAACCGAGCTATTAAAGCATTGAAGAAAGCTGACAATGATATTGTCAATGCGATAATGGAGCTAACCATGTAGCGCTATTTTCGGGTGCTATGTTAATGAGTATTTAAGTTGATAATTGATGTTCTTTTGTGCCCATGCTTTCTTCAATTTTGATTTTCACTCTGAAAATAAAATCTGCTCAATGATTTTGACTTTTACACGCTCCAGGATAGGTTTGCCTCGAGACATTACGTTTTGCTTTATTTAAGCATTTTTTCGTTGCTTATTTAGTTAAAGAATATATAATATATATCAATCATATGTTCGATTCCGAATTTCTCATAACTAGTTAGGATTAATGGTTCATTGTCTTTCTACCATATATTGCCATTACCAACTGCTGTAGTACAAACTTGTCAATAGTGCCCCAAATAGCCTTGAACATGTTCAACAGTCACGCCTTCTAAACAACTTAATTTTCACCTAAGAAACTGAAGAAAGTTAAAAGTCGTGCAACAGGGAAGAAACTAATTGTATTGCACTGAATTATTATAAAAGATCCGACATTCTTTCACATAAATTAAACGTGCGAACACAGAAGCCCTTGTCGGGCACTTGCTTGCATGAAATAAGCGTCCTTTATTGAAATTTCGCCTGAATGAACCTTTCTTTTCCTTCATGCCACGGAGCCACAGCTCATTTTACGAAGAGTTAAAGATCATCCTATCCCATGTTATGGCATGGCGCGTTCAAAGATTTCAACATTTCACGACAAAGCAGAATTCACTGTCTTGAACACCCCAACAAGCATCCTGACTGCGTTTGGAAACACGGTTCACTTGCTAAATGTGTCAAGTAAAGTGCTTTGTTTATATTTAACTCTTATGACAACAAATAATGAACAAAAATAGATTTAATAATCGCCACGAGCCAAAATACGACGTTGCTTCTTTTTTGATTCTTTCTTCACTTTTCCGATATCATCTGTTGGCTTTGTAACCACTTCCTCTTTCTCTGATAAAATCACTTCTACGTGGCACGGCGATGACATATAAGCTGGAAATTTTTTGTCAGGATTGACAAAGTTCATGAGCATGAACCGGGTCGTTTTGCAATTAGTGAATTGAAGCAGTCAAGAAAGATTCCCTCCAATTAACGTAAGATTTCATATCATCCGTCAAACTCGCAAGACTTAAGTTATTTCAAAATTCTGTGCTGTTTGAGATCACGTGCATGTGCGACAAAAGCGTAAAGAATGTTCGTCTTTGTACTTGAGAAAACACTAGGTAACACGAAATATGATATCCTGTGAGGATAAATATTAAAAATGTCCAACATTTCTCTATTAAAAGACGGCTTAAGTGGCAAAGAAAGGAAAAACAAATTCTTGACTAAGTAACGCTTAAATTAAGAGCCAAATTTTGAAAGAACACATACGACTTATTTGTGCAACTATACCCTCAATTATTATGTCAGTTAGAAATTCCTTTACTAGCTAGTTTTATGAGTTTAGCAAACATGAAACCATGTTGAGATTTTCACCAAGCATATCAACTGCAGTCCACAACTGAGCTAAAGCGGTTGAAATTATGAAAAAAAAGCTAACGATTGATTCTGCCATGGGCACGATATGTTCGTCGGCGTACTTTTGGAGCACGCTGTACTTGAATGTGTTCGATTACAAGGTGGTCTGTATCCAATCCTTTATACTCCGCATTACTTTCTGCATTCCTAGAAAGATAAGTAATTACATATAAGAACAATTTTCATAGCAATCATCCAGTGCACTTGTTAGAAAAATGAGAAGGCAAATAGAAGTAATTGATATATTTCGATGATATATTACAGCTTTACTCGCTATGTTTGATTTCGATCCACTCACACTTCCATTCATCTTCATAGATCTATGATTTTAGAATTACAATGTATGACTGAAGATCTTTAATGACAGGAACATTCAAACTGTCTCGAACACACTGGAGAAAGACCAAAAAAATACTGACCTCAAAAGCTGCAACAGAAATTCAGCTGATTTCTTAGGCCATCTTCCTTGCGTATGTCCCCAAGCTTTCGCTTGTGCTTTACGTCCAACACGATGATTGAATTTCCGGAACGGAACAATCTCCTTCTTTTCTTTCACATTTTCCAGGAAACGTATTGCACGCTTCAGCGGCATATGCTTGATAGCTTGAGCTGTTTCATGTGTATTTTTGAAATGTACTCGAAGATCGGAACCACGTGCCTTACACGATTTCGTGCTATTCTCCGGTTGTCTTGAATAATGTATTTTTCCCATTTACCTAAAACAATGAGTACTTTGGACCAAGAAACAAAAGAACTTTACCAGAAACAGTACACTACGTCACCAGACACTTGCATGCGCTGACAATTGAAATAGTGAATCCAAATTGTAAAATTCAGTCCCTAGAAAGGTATCCCGGTCTCAACACAAGAACGACACATTTCATGTTTGACCGGAAAAGGGACTGAACGACCCCTTGCAGGAACATACCTAGCTCACACTTCGTTGCAAACCAAACCTCAAAACTATATTTAGTGTCCAAACGATTAAGCGCTAACCCGGAATGCAACCTGCCGTCTCTCGAGATGTTAATAGGGATAGTAATTAATGGTTGAGGGGTAAGTTACTTCGCTTTGTCGGGTGGACTGTCATCTGCATTAATGTCGATTATCATATATTGGGAATGGATTGAGGTTGTTTGAGCTGAATTGCATTAAGATAAATTGAGCTGTTCTATGGATTCTATGGATTGAATTGGGTTGAACTGGATTGTGGGGTTGAACTGGATTGTAACTGGGTTGAATTGGGTTTGCGTAAAAATTTTGTTCTTTTATTAGCCCTGTTATATGAATAATCCATAGAATAAACCAGTTTGCAGGACCGAAATGAGCCGTGTAAATGAACAAACTGATAATACCGCAACAGTTACTATTATTGAAGAACCTATCGATCCAACGGTTAGTTTTATCATTTAACGTCTTGTTTGGAATATAATCTGGCCATCATCTGCTCACGGATGTCGGTGAATCCATTTCGTCTTTTTTGACCTCGGCTCTTTTCAAAGGTTAATCCTTGAGAAGATCATGGGATTGAGAATAAAATTGAAGAGAAAAACTAGCTGTGTATTGTGGACTATTTGTAAAAGGTGTATGTTCTAGGGACCGTGAATCAACAGTACAATCTCTTTGCTCTTCCCCTTTTTTGTTTGAGTTTGTTTAAATGAATAACTAAATATAAATCGAAAAATTTGCCTCGTTTTTACAAGATTAAAATTCGCTTTTTCGAACTAAATAGTCTGGAGCGGTTATTGCTGAACTAGTACGATTTTAACGAAAAATTTGACTATAAGTTTTTACTTGCTTATTGCTTGAGTTTTTTTCTCTTTAGGTTGCAGTACAACAACTTTCCCTATCTCCAGAACTGTCACGTGAACCACGGTAAGCTAATTCTTGTGTTTTCGCAACATTATAGATTTCTGAAACAAACTTTGAGATCATATTAAGAGACGAAAGGCATTGTACATTTACGTATTATTTCGCCTTTCGTATTTTCTTCTGCTTTATTGACCTATACTTGTATTTAAATGAACGAAATAGATTAGCATTTCAAGGAAAACTTTTACAGGCTTATGGTTTCCAACACATCAAAATACGAAAATGATTCTTCATAATATTCAATGTAATGTTTCTTTGTAGTGTGCGCTGGTCTGCAGATACGATAGACAATGAATTTTTGGGTAGGCATAAGTCGAAATGTTGCTGTATTTACAAGAAGTCGAAGAAATGGGATGAAAGTTCTGATGGCGACAGTGATTCTGTACGTTTTCAAGTTTGTTTACTTATTGTAAGCCTGTTTAAATCTTCGGTATCGATGATCCCATTTGTCAGAGTGGTTATTTTTCGAAGTGTAATGGTTTACACAATTAATATAGTTCTCTTTCTAGTATTGCTCAACAATCGGTGTGAAACTTGGAAGTTAACTTCTCATTTCACTACCTGCAATTCTCATGAAAGAGTATTTTGTATGAGGAGAACAACAATGAAAACTAATATTTATGAGAATAGCCGCATATACAATGCGTCTATGAATCATATATATTTGATATTTCAGGATTGTGAAACAAATCATTGTCGGGGACATGTTGAAAGACGTTTTCATCCATCAAGCAGCGATGATGGAGGCAAATCAGGTCCTTCATGCTCTACTTGATTGTCGCTTAATTTGTGATTTTGTCCATTCCATACTTCGTTCTTATACAAGGATCGATTTTCGAAAAATTTTTTTCAGAATACGTAGTTAGTCAAAATGCAAAAAATCGTTTTTCTGCTTAAAATTGAGTTGCTGAAGAGAAGATATAGTAATCCATTGCATGGACTCCACAAGATAGTAAAAACGGGTAAAAGGTTTTTTAATTTTGTGAGAGCATGATGTAGAATTATGCAAGGAGATTAAATAAAGAGTACAGTTATGTTTGTGACATATGCCACATCATGTCAAGAACTGTTCCAGTGGTGACTTCAGTGAACAATATCGGTTGTGATGCGGAAGATGACTGAAATGTAATAATTAACAATTACCTAACTTTGGTCTATTTTCCTCTCATCTACTATAAACATGCTTCAAAAGCTGTACAAAATTGCATTTTTAACTAGATGTTTCTGATGGCTTGTAAAATTTTTGGTTGATATTTGGTGTGACTATGAATTGCTAGAATTTTACTGCAATATTTTAGAAAACTTTCCGTACATATCATTTATTGACGACGAAACTTATGCGGTATAAATCATTTGTGAAGGATGCGGCGTTGTGAAGTCAGTTTCTGATCAAGTAACAAGTGATTATTGTTTAGCACTTTATTGAAAAAATGGCTTTTTACGAAGAATTTAAAGGTTTCGAAAATCTTGAACAAGGACGTTTTTAGTGAATTATTAGTTTGTGAGCGATGTTTAGTTGCAATGATTTTGAAATAGTTCTTGCGAATATCAATAGGGATAAGGTACAAGTCCTGAAGTTTATTGCTTACGATTTGAAATCAGGTCAATGAATTGAATCGATTTTATATGCTTATGATCTGCTTGTGGATTTTTGCAAACGAGGAAGATCAGAATAGTTAAGTAGGTCAATAAATGATCAATATATATAAGGTTTATGCATAT